ATTTCAAAATCACAATGATTAACCTCCTGCCGGCAGCATATTGCACAAATCCAAAGATTGGGCACTGAAAGATTTCAATACACAAGCAAATTGGTTTTACATAAAAGCTACAGGTATTTTTACTTTTTCACAGTCTAATCAGAAAAGCGCAGATAATAACATTAGGTGAGCTGGTTCCATTTAGGTGAGCTGGGGTCAGGGTTCTGCTCATGCTGACTCACTGAAATTGCTTACTGGTATATTTGAATAAAAGCCACCATTATCCTTGTTTTGCCTGAACTTTGTCCTGACCAGTTCATTTTTTCCGAGTGATTAGACTTCTATGGCAGTTCAAGCAGCAGCTGAAATGAATTATTCTGGAATTATACTTCAAGTCATGAACCAACTCATGATACAGATGTAAATTCTCCCACCTTATCAACTAACAGGAAGGTCACTCAAGCATGCTCCGGCATCATTTCTGAGGTAGTTATAAATCAGATATTTGAATAAGTTGAACTTTGATTTTTTTTTTTTTTTGGTGTGATTTTGATTACAGCCCTAAAAGATGCAGATGCAATATGATCCTCAGAGATATCAAGGTTATCTTCCATCCATCCATTTTCTTATGCTCATCCAATTCAGGGTCACAGGGGGGTTGGGTCCTATCCCAACTGTTATCAGGGAGGAGGTGGGCTACACCCTTGATGGACCGTCAGTCTGTCACAGGCCTAACACTTGAAAACAGACAACTCATTTCATAGCGTACATTCACACATTCAGTTGATGTAAAGTCAGTAATGACTCAAACATGGATGTCTTTGGACTGCGGAAGGAAGCCAGACTACCTAGAAAGAACACACACAGGCACCAGGAGAACATGAAAACACACAGAGAAGGACCTGTGCTTTCCCAGGGAACAGTGGCAACAGTGCTAACCTCTACACTGTGCTGCCCTCGGCTCATGTAGCTAAATGTTTTTCCTCCAAAACTTGATTGGTTTATGTAGATCTATACACACCAAAATCTACCTTTTCCATCCTCTGACTCAGGTCCAATTCCTGTGCCGAAGTGTCTCACATACACGCATACACACACATAGTCAGTACATGATGACTGATTCCTCCCCTGTCTTTATACAAGTTGAGCTGAAATCTCTCATCCTTCCCTTTTTGGAAAGAGATAATGACGCTCGTTTCATAGCTCAAAGAAGTCATTAATGTGTGACACAGCCTTGAATGTAGGATATCAAAGCCCTGCGGAGTGTGCCCACCCCTCTCGCCCACTAACGGGCACAACCTTGTTAAGATGGCAGAGATATGAATTAATCATCAGTCCACCCTGTAACAGGGCAGGAAATTGTTAGCAGCATCAGCTGTTGTGAGAAATGCTGCTTTTGAATTGCTCAAAAGTATAAAGCTTCTTACAAATCTGTCATCTCATTACAGAATCACTCTCAAATTTACTTCCCCAGATAAGTTAATGGACATGCTGACTCCTATGTAGTCTCATCCAATCTTTTTCTTAGATGTGACGGTACAGGCAAGGCAGAAAATGGAATAAGATGAAAATTAGTAAGTCAGATATGACAGTCAAAGATTTGGCCAAATGCATGGCCATAAAAGACAGTACTATAACACTGATATAATCCCAGTAAGCCTAAACTTTGGCATTTCTATATCCTTTGTGCACTTGGTGTCCTCTGAGAAATAAAAGACTAAAGACACACATGCAGTGTCTTATGGAAACAGTAGAGTTTGCACGCACATTGCTGCTGACTGCGTAACACACCCACCAAACCTACCTCTGACACACTGGACTTTGAAGGACTTCTGCTAAAGTTTGCCCCTGTTTTCAGATTTAACATGATCCAGATGATGAGGCTTGTTAAGAAATGAAAATAAAAGCTAAAGTTAACCATAAGAGCTTTTGTGCCTGAATAAATTGTTGAATATGAATGAATAAACCATAGAGTAATTCTTAAAGCTGACATTGTAGTTGATTTAGTATGGTTTAAGTTTATTTTATGGGTCATTTATTGTCATATCTGTCTGCATATATGTTTATACCTTGTTTATATCTTGAGCTAATGTCAGTTATCTATTTGATATCTATCTACAGTTTCATTTCGGTGGGGTTTTGGCAAAGTCATTTGATGTCCTTTGTTTTTACAGAGAAGAACTCTGAATTTGTCTGGTAATAGATTGATCCCGACTGAGATATAATTTCTCCCATAACTTTTCATTTTCAGGAAACTGTTGCTACAGTTGGCTGTACTGTCACTAAACTAAGAACTTGCCTGTTACACTCAGAAGAAATTTTAAATTTTCTCAAATTTTAAGTTTCATTTTATTTATCACTGTGGGATTAATTTACAAAATAAATGTTCAGTAACTTTGTTTCTGACAAAGTATATGCAAAATTTATTAGCATCAACATACTTTCAGTTTAAAAACTCCAACTTTAGCATGCAAAGCTAAAATGCTAATCCTGCTAAACATCATTATCTGATGCTAGCTTAAAGAATCCCTTTTCCCAAGTAGATCGCAGAGCTTTTGCACAGTGTTTCTAGTGAACTGTGTCCTGAAGGACACCCTCACAGTCTTTGTTTGGAACTGCAGTAAATATTCACTCGGCTACTATAATCCTCTAGATTTTCGAGAGTGTACTGCCAGAGCTGTAAAACAGTGAGTTGATTAAAGCAATTCTGACAGTGCGAAGTCAGCAGAGTATTGCAATGATTCTGTTAAGTGGTACTCTGCGAACATTATGCCTACAGACTATGACACACATGGGCAAATATGGTGCAAGGGCTGGAAACAGAATCGAGGTGAATGACTACAGTGAGTCTGCACAGCTTGTTAACTCGGTTGCAGTGATATCACTGATATCACTTTAAAGACGTGTGATAAATTAAATGTTAACATATAATTTAGACAGATTTTACTTTTATGTTAGTAAAATTTAGACTAAAACCTGTAACCACAGTTTTGTTATCCCGTGTGTGGCCCTTCGCTTGATCAAAGTCAGCCCCGTCCTTTAGCCTACCCCGGATTATTGGAATCCTAACGGTTTTTGGAAGGAGAATAAATGTAAATCTGTGGTCACAAACATACCTATTTTAGATATCGAAATATGCAGTTTTGTTACAAAGTATATCTTGCTTTATGAGCCATATCTAGCAACAGTGTGATTCACCACGTGGACACTAACACCATGTTGCTATTGTGTGGCCTGTTTGTTTAATCCAGCTTCTGTGTCTGTCAGGAAAGTGGGCAATTTGCATGCTGCAAGTGCTCTTAATATAAAATGTTGAAGTAGGGTGGCTCATTCCCACGTTGCATCCCCACCTTTCCTCCTTCTCTCCCACTTTTGGCTGTGTGAAGTACTGGTTGGAGAGCTGTAACAGGAGTATCATTCACTGTAATGGTGGAGCGTCCTCCTCCACAGCCCTCACTTAGATCACTTAATCCACTTTAGCAGTCCAGTGCTGTGCACTGTGTGAACACAGCACGTTCACAATGGGAGGTTAGAGTGAGACGCTGACCTGTCAGTTTGCACTAAAATGCCACACTAAAACACTCGAAACCCTTGTTTCTCGCAGCTCATTTAATATGGATGTAGAGAAGGCCTGCTACACACTCCAGTCAAAATCGGGATCTTTTCTGGTAAAATATATTTTTTGGGCACACAGTATACTTTAAAATGAACATAGATGGTTGTGTCCTAGGAATACTTTGAAATCAGTGAATATGTGGGATTTCTAAGCAACAGTGGACACACTGGATACTTTATTTGACCAGTTTATTCAATTAAATTCTATCAGTTTGGTGCAAAGAGGATTCTGAAGCAGGTTTCAAAATGTAAAGATGGGAATATATGGAAGGTTGTTTTAGTAGATTTAATGTTAAATCAGTTAAACAAAAGACAATCTGCAAACTGCAGCTTAGATTTTCAGTTTAAAATGAGACACAAGTGATTGACCTGCATGTCATAAAAACAATCCCATGTAATCTACTCAACAAAACTGACAATTTGAGTGCACTTTCTTTGGGTATATCCCACATCGCGTCAGTTAACCTTTCTCAGTGCATTACACAACTAATTCTTTTAAAAGATATATCTATGGTGTACCTTGCCTGTTGCCCAGTAACAGCTGGGACAGGCTCAAACCACAACCCTGAATTGGATAAATGGAAGGAAATAGATTTATGGACAAAAATTATGTCTACATTGGACATTTGCAATTTTAAATGAAGAAACCCCAAAACTATTTTAATGACTGTCCTCCAGTCTCAGTCCATCCATCAGAACAATTTAGAGAACCAAAAGTAATACACAGGATGTTCACTCATCTGGAATTCCCTGACTGTTTATTGTTCACCAGAAAAAAACAGTACAATAGTGCAGACCAGTATTTCTTGATTGACATTCCAGGTTAGGGTTAGTAATTTAACTCAAATAGTTATCCCAGCATTGCATATGTATAGACAAGCGGTGGCTGGGTTTCACATTTGCACTGAATAGTTACAGTTAGGGGTGAGGAATACTAATGCCCATTAGTATTAACAAGTATAACTAATTACAACATTTTCTTATTGTAGGTTGCTTTATCTAAAAAAATATTTTTAGACTGAGTGCAATACAAAAGTGCAAGGTGCCACCAACACAGGTATTGTAGGGAAAATCTACTTATTGTTATATTTCACATAGTCCCTAATACGTTAAATATAGCAGCTCCATAGACATTCACCTAACAAGTGAAAGATCCCTTGCTTGATTGGCAGAAGAAACCCAAATCTCTCAGATCCTTGTCACTAATACGTTTGCTGCAATATGTAGCAATAAATCTTACACTTTCTCTGATGCTTTTCCAGTGCAACTACAATGTGTTTTTTGGGGGGGAATTTAATTGCAATTAACTATGTTATCTGGTAATAAAATAGAACCTAAACGATACACAAGTCCTACAGACTTCTAGCTTAAACAGTAAAAGACGCTCAGACAAAACAGTCCACACAGTAATTTAATAAATTCAAGCACAGACTAGAAAAAAGAGAGCAAAGGCATTTTGTATCGAATGAAAAAAGCTCAACTAGTAACAGGAAGTTTCTGCTGTAAGCTTGAATAATTACATGTTTACAGTAAAGTTATAGCCAGTCAAGCTAAATGCTCTACACATCATTACTGTTTAACAACATTTCTGTGCCAGATCTTGTTAGCCTTCTAACATGTAGCAGTCAGATAAGATGAGTAACATTCAGATTTGACTCTTGACATGACAGCGACTACAACCAAAGAGCATTTCCTTTTTTTTCCTTTTTAATGTTTTATCTAGATGAAGACTGAAGATAGTACAAGGAGGTGACACCAGATTTTATTCATTCAAGAGCAGAAAGCGCAAAAGAGCACTCAAGACAGCAAAGTGAATGAATCGTCATTTTGATCAGAAAGCATAGCTGAATTTAGCAAACAGGAATGTGAAAAAACATATTTATAACCACCTTCGAAATGTACAGTGTCTGTGTAAAAAAACAAACAAAAAACAGCCATAACAGTAAATTATTTTCAATACAGTCTCTCCTGTATGAAATCCAGTCAGCTCAACATACCATACTGTAAAATGTCTTTTTGTATTCAGATCAGTGCATTTATTACAAGGCTTTCTTTCAATCTGCCACATAGCCAACATGCTTCTATATAATGTATTTAATTTAAACTTTTCTTTTCCTAAAACAATCTGCCGATATATCAGTACATCCCTAATCAAGACCTTATTAAAATAAGATAGGTAGGTAGATCTCAGGCAGGTTAACACTAAGCATGAGTGCTTTATCAATTTTCAAAGTAAAGCAGTCATTTACAGTAGTTAAAAAAATGTGGTCACATTTCTTTTTTTCCCCCCTCCCATTTCATGAAATGAGAGCAAAAAGCGTAAACAATGAGTTACAGAAATACGTTGCTGGCAACATGTCATTTACCTCAAAAGGAAATAGATGAATTCAGCAATAGTACAGGATGGATCTGAGTAATATAAGAACAGTTTCATTCATAGTCTTCAAATTCATTCTGACAGGCACTACTAGTACATCCACAAAGCAAGTCTATATCAGTCTTTCTTGTTGCCAAATTACTCCAAAGTACTAAAAATCTCATATCAAACTAAACTAACCTAACAAAAGTTACTGGCAGTAGCTAAACCAAGAGATTGGGTTTAGGCACTCAATTTAAAATTATTACTGTTTAACATATGCCTCCTGATAGTTCGGTTTAGTAAGAAAGTTTAAAATGCCTGTTTAGGATAAGCTGGCATCCATCCTGATTGGATGATTATAGGTTAGAATCTTGGTGACATAAATCTGTGCTAGTAACTTATTGTGTTGTGTTTACATTCCTGTAGATTAATGTGATGTGGGACTGATGTTATAACTATGTAATAACACAAATGAATTACAAGCAACAAACAAGTTTTTAAAGCTTAAAAACAGCAACAAATATCAAAGAATAAACACTTTTTAACTCCAATAGTTATTTTTTCTGGTTAACTCCACTGGTCAATAGTGTGTTCCAAGTGTTTGAAATAAAGTTTGGTTCTGGAAATTTGTGATCATTTCAGCAGTACTGTTGATAAATGATCCTTGTAATTAAAAAGGATCCTTAAATGTTCCAAGACACTCAAAAACACTTCCAACAGAGGAGACACATTTCAGTTCTGCGTATGTAACTGAACGCAGCAGGACAAAAGGAGGGCAGAAGTATAGCGTAAAGGCACTGTGTTATTTTTACAAGCCAACAGACGTAAATCCAAGACAAATCAAGACCACATCGCTGACCACTTGTTTTTCCCAAAGGTTTTAACAGAAAATCCAGGCTGGAGTGACTGACCTCCAAACACCAATAAATCTGTTTTACTGAAATCTATCAGTAGGAAGCCAGCGAGCATCCAGAGAAGTCCGAGCTAAGGGACAGAGACAGTGCAAAAGTCAGTCAGTAGAGAGGGCATTGAGGGCAATTCTGTTAGTTTGTTCAGTGCCCACAGAGTCGAAAATACAGAAATAAATACAACACACACACACCCGCGCACACACAAACAGCTCTTACTTCACTCAGAAGCTGAACTACAAGAACAAATTCAGGAACACAGGTAGAAAATGATGCTGTAGGTAAACAAACAACGGTATTTAAAGGAACAGTTCTTCTTTTTCTTTTTTTTTTGGCAAAGATTTTGATCAGAGCTGTGATTTCCCAAAGCGTTTGTGGCTGCCTCCTTGTGGCCTTCAAAGGTATTTCAATTGGGTCTTGAAAGGGCTTGCCTGCCCTAAATCAAACGCCCCCAAACAGTATTTATGATCATATTTTATGTTTATATATTTACATTTTAAAACATAACCAGAACTCATATATATACTCATAAAGTCAAGCTGATGAATTAAGTTACTGGCTTATTCTACCTATGTTTTGTGTATTTTCTAACTCATCGTTGTTGGGAAAATGTGTTGATGAGAGCTGTGATTATTGTTTTTGGCTGGTCGCACAAAATTTTAAGATTTCAAATCGTTTGGCAACATTTTTAAGTTTGGGAATGAATGGATTAGAAGATCAGCACTACACTCTGTTAGTCTAGGAACCCTTTCATTTATCACCTGATGGAACAATAGCCAACAGTTTGGACCATCCAGTATAGCCATTAATTACAAATGAAGCTAATAAATACAATGAAAACAAAAACCATGATCATTATCTCATTAGACTACAGCTAGTAGTTTCTAAATTGTATTTAATAGGATACTTTTATGTATATGCAACCAGTGTCTCCTCAGAGTAATAGATCAATTCTAACTACACATGGTAACCGGAAAGCTTGTGGTACCTGAAATATCATCCCTTGTCTCCAAATTTTGCATATTCATATGCAGTGTTCCTTTATCAGATATTTTTAGGTGTAAATCCTTGTTGCCTGAAAATCTCACAGCAATGACCAGATATCTTGTAGTAGGCATAGTTGAGTATCCATACTAATCTGAGCCAGGCTTAAGTCCTCCTGGCTGCATCTAGCATTCAGAAAGTCTTATTGATCTTATCTCTAAAAAAAACTGAATATATGAACATGTTTAATAAGAAACTATTCTAAACTAATTCTTGATGGACAATACTATTTTAAGCGGGTCTGACACAACCTTTTTAGATAGATTGTTATGAAATTTGTTGATGTTTTTCACAGGTGGAAGCTTTTTCTTACTGTTATTTAAAATAAAAATAAAAAGGTGTATATATTCATAGCCCAAAGAAGGAAAAATCAGTGTGTTGAAATAACACACTGTACATGAATTCAAGCCATAACTAACCAATTAAAGATGAATATACTGTCTCACATTTCGATACCATTTAAAAAACGGAGCCTCTGATATATTTGCTTGAAAAACCCATTCACATGTGCGCAAGTGCTATATTTTTGTGTGTCCTGCACCCTTTGGATGAATGTGCCATCGTCACAATTAAGGCGACACATCTGCAGGATGCAGTTAAGCACAGAAATAATGAGGGGATGTCAAAATGGGAAGAAAGCTCAGCTGCAGACTCAAAACACATGGCAATATAAATGGCAAAAAAGTAACCAAATTGTTGCCCCTTTATTTACACCATCAGCATTAGTTGTGTGCAGGTTGGCTGTTGATATTCCAGAGTAGCCCAGAAGCACTACGGCTCTGATCTGCCACCTAGTTTGCATACATTTTAGCCTCCATGTATGTATAAAGTACACAGGCAGATTAGTATGTATGTGAACAGTCATGCTTGTTTTACAGTCTACACACTGAAAAAAGAAAAATGATATAAGAGGCTTAAGTGAAAGGTAACATAAAGGAATGTTAACAGCCCAACAGCATTCACTCATCCTCACAATAACACAAAGTCAAAAGGAAAAAAAAAAAGATCTGTGCTTGGGTCCGCTTGTTGGTTTTGATCCTCGACTAGCCAGAAGGTCAGGAAGTCATGGTCCAAGAAAATGTTTGGTTTGTTCCTTTTAGGTTTATCCTATACACATAAAAAAATGTACACAGATGAAGGAGACCTCACGGTTGGATGGAAGGATGGCCTTCTTGTTTAACAAGCACAGCTATTAGTAGATGACCTCATAGACAGTTGCCTTCTTATCTCCTGATCCCGTCACAATGTACTTATCATCAATGGAGATGTCACAGCTCAGCACAGAGGATGATTCTTTTGACTGTCGGGGGAATAAAAGATGCAAGAAAATGTATAAAAAGGGTGAGAAAGATGAAGGCTACGCAGACACACGACTTTCTTGTTATTGTAAAGACACAGAAGGTTGTTGAATTCACAATAGCTGCAAAAGTTCAGTCATACAGACTGTTGTATTTTCATTAGGAAAGTAATTTCATCCAAGGAATACCCAAGAATTACTTGTTAAGAGTTCTTATTTTTCTTTATTAAAAATAAGAAATAACACCCCCACTTGCGTGTTTTTTGTTTTTAATCTAGTAATTCATTCAGTCCAGTTTATTCATTCCCATAATTGATTCTCACCTGCTTCACTTTCCCACCTGCTGCATCACCTGTTCCTCTCATATGTTTTCATTCATCTAATCAGCCCCATCAGCAGGCTACTCCCAGTCTCACATTACCTAGCGCTTTAGCTCTTTGGTGTTCTGCTGCTCAATTCCGTTTTGCACCAGATTAGTCCCAATGTATGTCTTTTTTTTTAGAAATAACGGTAAGTGCCCAGGATTCTGCATCAGCTGCTCCTTGTGCTTGTTTTTTTATAACCTTGAATCTCCTTGTGTGACTAAAGCTCATCTTTTGCTTTTTACCATCTGTCTTTTGTGTCATACTCTTGGGTCCTCTATATAGAACCCTGATAGCTAAACTTTACAATCAGTGAGCAAAAGCGGTGTTTGATATCTCTACCTGGGTTATTTCTCTAAAATCCATAACTCTTGGCTATTACGCTGTGCTGCACTTGGCCTCTCAGTTGCCTTTCATCCATGGTTGTGTTCTTGCCCACTTACCTGGAATATGCTGGCTCCATATGGGGTTCTCCATGCATTTAGCAGATTGTCTTTTCCTGTACTTACAAACCACTTCCCTGCAGAGGATCGACAACTGCATTAGTCTACGGCAACGAAAAACGCTTTAAATCTTTAAAAGCCAAAGTAAATTATTTAAGTGAAGGTTAATTTGCTCGCTCAGGTGCTAAACCATTATCTCATCGTTAACATCTCAAGACCTGGCACATATATTCATTTCATGTTGCAAAATACTGGTGACAACAGAATCATTTCAATAAAGTTGTTTATGCTTACCACAGTGCGCAAATCTGAGTGACAGCACACAGCTTTCATGCAGGTGGAGCTGGTATTTGTCAGGTTTGGTGACATGCAACACCTCCACATTACTGTTCTCCATCCCAACTGCCAGCCACTCTCCCGTTGGACAGTATCCCAGTGAGAAGATCTGCAGCCAACACCAACATACCCATTTTAATGACAGCTATGTCTCCCTATATTCTGTGTAAATAATACTCAGTATATCTCTTATATTAGGGTAAGGTATGCATCTGTCTATTGGAGGTGGGCACAGATAGATGTTCCAAAAATATGTCATAGTCCTATACCTCAACCTTTTACATTACAAAGAGGTAGATGAATAGTTAAGTCCTTATTGTTTTTTAAAAATCCCTTTTTTACACCATGGAAGAGCAAAATGCATGCACAGGATACAACTGATAGCTGTAAAAACTGGTAAACCATTACTTCTTTTCTCTGTCAAATTGTTCCAGATTTGCTCAAGCTGTAGCAGGGGGGAGTGGGGCTAGACCTGACATTACTGGAAAGCCTAAGAACTCTATCAGCCATGACTGTCCTCTCTGAGCTCTCTTTACTGCACACTCACCTCCTCATGTGCACACTGAAATGGCTCTATTCAGGAAAATTGCAGTAATGGTCTATTATTGCTGCTTTTCTACTCACAAGGGGGAAAAAACTAAATTCTACCTGCACATATTATTAGTGTTAAAAGTATTTGAGGACAGGGCTCAGCCGGGCTTTTAGTGTGGGTTAAATGTTCTGAACTGAGCTTGTAAATGACTGCAATAAATCAAAACCCGAGACAGTAATCACACAAACTGCAAATGGCAGTGACTTGTCCTGGGGTGCACAATTTTCATCTGTGACATTTTACCACCAAATAATAATAGACGTCCGTGCAAAACCCAAATTTCTGAACCCTGAACACACACCTGAAAGCTGCTGGAGGAGTGGAACAAATTCCACACTGCTTCATTATGATCGCTCCCAATAGTCACGTGATGCAGTACGTGTATAAATGTGTACCTGAGAGGTGAAGTCGTGCTGTTGCAGCTGGCGTCCCTCTCTCAGGTCCCAGGACCGGACAGTGTTATCCAGACCTCCGGTCCAAAGCTTGGTCCCATCATTAGAAATGTCTATGCAGCTGGCTCCATCTGTGTGGCCCTGGAACTGCCTGCAGAGAAACAGACAAACCCATAACTAACAATACTGTTTTTCTTTCAAGTTGGCTTGACATCAACCAGATCAGCATCTTGACTAAACTAATGGGCAGCCAACATGTGATGCTGTTTTGGTTTAATAGCAGGTTCTTTTTTTTCTCTTTTTTTTTTCTTTCAGCATAATTCAATAACCTTAAATTACATTCCCCAGTTCTTTACCTAACCAGAGTCTGGTTGTTAAGATCCCAGACGGCAATGTTTCCATCAGAGCAGCAGGAAAAGCAGACTTTGGAATCCGGGCTGATGGCCAGAGCATAACATGCAGGTGCAGACGAAGTTAATTCCGCTTTGATCCGAGGAGTCGGTGTAGCCAAATCCCAGATTGATAAAGTACTCGCTTCTCCCCCAACGATAAGAGTTCGTCCATCAGGAAGTAGCCGACAGGATCGAATATAGTTATCCCTGTTCTGATGTGCCAAAAAAGAACTGTCATTGAAATGTATACATGCAAGCAACTAGTGGCTGTAAAAGTGGTATTCTAAAAGTATGTTACATGAGGACCAATGTGTTGAACTCACAAGGCAGTCCAGCTGGGAAACAGGGGTCTTGTTGCCCGGGTGACTGATATCCCACACCTTGACACAGCCCTTGCCGCCGGTATAAACGTGACGTGTAGGGTTACTGATGGTAACGGCACACACCACCTCCCCGTGGGTGAGAGTATTGATCTGTCTAGCATGGCGCGGGATACCAGGGCCGATCAGTGCATCCGGAGGAAAAGGCACAGGCTGCATTTGTCCGTCAGCGCTCACATGAAAGGAATAAGCTCTGAAGCAAAATAAAAGGGTCGTGTGAGGTGATAAAGGGTGATGAGAGAAAAGTAAGAAAACATAAGCAGAGGGGAATATATGTGTGTTTCTGTGAACTTTCTCAGTATGATTATGCCATTTAAGAAAGACTAAAAAAGACTTACGGTTTTCCACCAGGAATGCCCGACAAGTTAGGAGGAAGTCCAGGAACACGTATGTGGTGGTGAGGATCAAATCCTACCTAAAGAACACAAGAGTGAGACGTTTTTAAAATATACAAAAATGCTTAAACAAATAGAAGACTCGAATGAAGTCAGGTGTGCAGGGCAGGAAGGCATTTATAGTGACGTGACAGGAAAGGAAGTGTGTTTTTACATCCAGCGACCTCATTTATAAAATTAACAAACGATCAGTTTTAATCCCAGCTATGACTCAAGCAGAAACCAAGCGCAAGTAGGTGTTTTTAAAAAACACTCTGATGTGGAAATTATTTTCTCTCTCAGAAAAGTCTAGACTTAACCTAAGTGATTTTCCCACTGTTTCTGTTGGGTCATTACAGATACCCAGTAGGAATTAATTGCTAGACATCAAGGTGTTTTGAATTAACAGGAGGATTAAAATTAATTAAGAGAAGGACTTTTTTTATAAATAGCATGTCAAATTAGAAACAAGTGCCCTCGCCTGTTCTTGCATTATTGGAAAATCCTGGTAAGTGTGCTCTAGAGGCAGGAGATTTTTCAATGGCTGCGATTACTTTTTTTTTGTGAATCATGATATGTGGTTATAATAACGTCAGAAACAGTTCAGTCTTTATGCTCTACCTTGTCCACACTCCTTAGCTGCAGGTTTTGCTTTGCTCATCAACTCATTAGTTGAGTAAATACCACATGTTGCCCTGCTTCAACCTCCTCAACCATCGCCATGAACAGTTTTCATTTCTTTTTTTGCACAATATTTTTAAGCATTTTCCTACTAATTGAACATAAGCATACCATTGGGATTAATCTTAAAACTAATTAAAAGTTGAAATACTAAATGCATTTTTTTTGAATGAAGTTGTACTCCTAAATTACCTTGAAGTAAATTTCCAATCAAAATTTTTGGTACAAGATACATGCCAGCATTTCAAAGCAGATTTAAGCAACAGTCAACTGAAAAATAATAATAAAATCCTGGTGAGACCACCATTTTTAGCTTTTATTCTAATTCAGTTTAGTTTTTAATCTCTCAAAAACGCTTGCATAGTTTCAGTGGGGATGGTAGTTAACGGTACTGTGTTTACCTGCTACCTGGTGAAAGATTGTCATCACACAGAGAATATTTGTTCATACATGGTTACCATTTTAGGACAGTTTCTCATTTCACACCTGACATAAACGGTTGAAAATACAGTCGTAAAAACGCACCTAAATAGAATAACTTGCAAAAAATTGACTAATTATTAGAATCCCCAAAAATCACAATATTAGTTGTTTTCCACTAAATCATTTTTGTCTTTAAAGTACATTTTTAACACTGACAGAATAGGTAGCTAATGTTTACGTCTGCTGTCTGCATGCATCTGTGAGTGTTCAGGTACCACTTGTGTGCGTCCGTAGGCTGCCACAGCGGCCGCGGCCACTGCACTCATCTGTGGGGAAATGTTATGCAAGCCAGTGTAGGCTGCTCCTGTTCCACTCAGCTCTCCATTCATACCAGGGTGAGGAACCATTCCGAATGGGCCAGGGTACGAGCAGGGCACTGCCAGGGGTGTGCGAAGACCAGGAGCTACAAAACAAGACAGCCAGATTGTGACGCAAACATCTATCTTTTTCAACTGTGGTGTACAAAGGTTATTTTTTTGCTTTAAAGCAAAGGTTTAGTCTTAAATACAGAGATTTTTGTTAAGCTAGTCTATGGTAATAGGCTTTTTTTTAAGTTTTCAAAAACATATACTTATGTATTTGCACTGAGTCATATCTGACAGATGCAGGCAGAGATGTTTTATGTTATGCTTGCAACACTTACTCAGTGCCTCAACTCCTGATGATTTACTGGGTGCAGACCTCAGGCCTGTGGTGGAGGCACTGCTGGGTGTGGGGGCTTCAGAGCGGGATGTGGGAGTGCTGGACTTGGACACGGGAGTTGTTGACTTCTCATTCTACCAGAAAAATTAAAAAAGAAAGATTTCTACATACAGAAGGGTTTCAGAGGTGAAAGACATGGAAATAAATCTTTATGCTTTTTTTTCCAAATATAATAACAGTGCAGGAGCATTCATGCGTCAGTTTATTCTAAGACTCATTAAATTGATATTCTATAAAAATGTCGAATAGTGTCCTTTATCTCTTGGATTTTATCTTACATCTTTAATGTGGTTTACAGTTTGCCAGATTTACTATTTGATCATTTTTACAGAAGCAAATAAGCATTGTTTAACCCTTTATTTAGAGGGTTTCTTGAAAGAAATTAAATGAAAAGGAGGCTACACAAATGACTCACCATATTAATATCTTTAGACTTGGAGGAAGGTGTGCTGCTGGAAGAAGCAATTGAGGAAGGGCTCAGTGGTGGGTCTTTCTTCAACAGGCGACTTTTGTCCAACCCATTCTCCCGAGGAGAGTGTGCAGGACTTCCTCGGGGAGACACTGGATCCTGTAAGCATTAAACCGAAACAATTCACATTTTCTCAACAGGTAACACACAGGATGGTAGACTGGTAGTGTGCAGGTAATATTTTGTACCTCGTTGGAGACGTCGACAACCAAGTTGTCATCACTCTTTTCTCCATCACTTTCCTGGGTCAAACACAAACAAGGACCATACAAAGGTAAATAAAATAGACCTCCCAGAATGTAGATTTGAGAATAGGCAACAAGCAAATTATTCTTTGTTGAAAAGTGTGTGTGCTCATGTCTGTGTCCACTTTTTTTTTTACATTTATTTAAATCTTTTTATTATATGAACACAAATCAGAATCAGTTTATTGAACTCAACACCTAATAACAAATTCATGTACAAGCAAGTAGTTCCCTCATTGTGAGAGAAGACCATAAAATAGTGTAATAATATATTTTAGCAGAAGAAGTCTGAGGCCACACCCCACATGTGTTATATTTGCTGATGGGCATCATTAGGTACACATTGCTAATACTGGGTTGGACTCTTCTGCCTTCAGAACTGATGTAATGGTTCATGTAGTAGACTCAAAAAGGTGCTAAAAATATTCCTCAGAGATTTGGGTCAATGTTGACATGATAGCAACAAACAGTTGTTAGCTGTACGTCCATGATGTGAATCTCCACCACGTCAAATGGCCATTTGATTACAGTGAACTCACTGTCATGAAGAAAACACTTTGATCTGAGCTTTGTGGCATGGTATATTATCCTACTGGAAGCAGCGAGAGGATGGGTACACTCTAGTCATAAATGGATAGACACGGTCAACAACAATACCAAGGTAAGCTGTTTAACCCATTAAAACCAATGGGGACATCAAACTTTTAGATCAAACTACCGTAACTCTTGAACCAATCAGAAAATTCCAGTGGTTGCTGAAAGCAGCAACTCTGTGCTTTACAGTAATCCCATGCGGGGCGCCACAATAAACACAGAAAACAGGAAAAACAAAGCAATAAAATGAACCCAAATCCCTGATAAGATGTCTGTTTTCTGTAGAGCACCATCAAACCACTCACTCTGTCTCGTTTCAACCAAACTTCAATGGTGCTGCGACGCGTGGGATTACCGTAATGACCCTAATATCACTGAAAAGCGCATAGTCCTTGCTTTTAGAAAGCAACTGTTACCTGTCTAACACCAGTGACAGGTTAGGCTTTAGAGGGTTAAACAATGCCTATTTGCTACTGAGGGGCAGAGTTTGCCAAGAAAATATTAACCACATACCATTACACTAACAGCAGCCTGAACCATTAATACAAGGTGGAATGGGTCAATGCTTTCACATCATTGGTGCCATATTCTGACCCTGCCATTCAAATGTTGCGACTCATAAGACAAGCAAACATGCCCGGTTTAGACTTCAGCGGGTCATCTTGACCATGTCTGCATGTTACTGACTTGTAATTGGTCAGATCAGATATTTGAATTAACATGCAGCTGAGCAGTTGTACCTAACAAAGCGGCTAAAGGTGGCATTTGTGGGGTGGTAAGGTTTGAAACAGGTATGGTTGGTATATAACATGATGTGAGTGAGGGGTGTTCCATGTGTACAGCATGTGACTTGCCTGCCTGAACTAGCTCACAGGCTACACGCCATTTGTTAAATATACTGGTCAAAATGGATTCACTAGAAGCATCCCAGTGGGTCATCTGACTGAGTTACAGGCCATAAACTGCATCATCCTTGGTTCAAAGACCTTTGGTGCGCCATGTTTCTACAAGTCTCTAGCATCTCTCCTAATTTCATCTCTGAAATAAAGAACAAATAATCTCAGTTTACTTCATTTAGACAAAAAAGTGTAGTTACTGTAGATATGACAGTACAGGGCCATGTAATCACAAGAGAACTGAATAATTGAGCTCTCCCTGTCCCTAATCCTTTCTAATGAGCTTGATAATAAATCTTCTCCGCAGCTCAAAAACTATTCATTTTAGCATATTCACTCACATAGCGTGTGGAGGTCAGCTCCTTATCATCTGTCTTCTGTTTTTTGCTGTCAGAGGAATAATCGCTTGAACTTCGATGCTTCTCTCCAGTTCGAAAATTGGCTGATGGAGAGACAGATGAGCTCTGGAAGAAAAAAAACAACCATTTACTTAACTGAAGCTGATTAAAACTGATCTTTTTTGTTTGTAAAGTACATAAACCCTGCACTGGAAAATCATAATAAAATCAGAAATCAGGCAGAATCAGATAAGAACAGGCCCGTTTTCTAGCTCAAACATGTGTGGAAAATAGCTATTAGAGCAACGGTTTTTGCTATAGAAAATCATTCATTTCCATTGACATTGAATTCCAGAAACACATATAACTCAAACTTGTGCTAATAGCAACAAAACACACTTCCGGACAGAAGGAAAATTAATATAAAATTACATTTGTTTGTATTCAACAAAAACATACATTTAAAGATTAGGTTACATTTTCTGGGATGTGAAACCCAAACCAAATGGACACAGAAAGAATCATCCAAGCTCCACTGAAGAAGATGTGATTATCAAAGGCAAAAAAAGTTGAGATAAATTACTAATCTTACCCAGGACAGACTGATAGGAAATATGTACGCTGCAGCTTTTACCGCTAGAAGAAACTTGGAATGTGTTGAGAGCCATGCGGTCAGTCAACAATCTGAGCAAAAAGACAAAGCTGAGCGGTGCAGACACAACGTACGCCGCGGCTAGATTTCTGTATCGCTTTTAAAATATCCCCTGGCTGTCAAAACAATTTCCTTTTTACTGTATCACACAATACAAAAGCAGCACTGCAGCCTTGACAGTTTGACTACAACATCGCAGCTTTACGGGGAGGGCTTGGCTGACGTCTCTCTTTCTTAATCAAATATGGCATCCTTTAAATACCATTACTGAAGGATTAATCTTCTTTGAGAAGCAAGGATCAAAATAAGGTCAGTTAAACATTTCCCCTCCAGCTCTGCCTGCCTCTGCTGATCTCTCTCTCTCTCTCTCTCTCTCTCTCTCTCTCTCTCACACTCACTCATTGGGAGGTCCTTCTTACCCAGCAGACGATGGACAGAGAAGAAAAATAAAGCAGGACCTTTAGCTCGACCTTTCCACTAACTCACGCTTGTAACCTTTCCGCTGCCCTTTGCCGTGCTGCAAGTGTTGATGACAAAGATTCTGTGGGGGAGGAGTGAGGGGTTGACTGTGTGTGTGTGTGTCTGTGTGCGTGAGTGTGCTGCTCAGGCAGCACTTGTACCTGTTTACATTTTAGTACTCCATATGTGCAAACAGTGTTAAGGAGTCAGTGTGTGTACAGGTGTGTGTCTCGTCTTGAGTGAGACGAGGCAAACTGAGCCCCTGACTCTGTGTCGCTCTATTTCCAGACTGATTAGATTAATTAGCCTGCAAATTAGCTCTTTCAAAAACATCAAAGCAAATTAATTCTGCCGCAGAGACAAATGAAGGCGCTGCCGACAGCACGAGCATTATGAACGTGAGGACCTCTGAGGTGTGGTTGAGTGAGAGTATTCATTTTCATTCACATCATAATTATATTTGCCTCCCATTTCAAATTGATTCTGCAGGTCCTGATAATGATATCTGCAACCTCGAGTGTTTTGTATTTTTCAGCTTTACAAACAGTCTCGCTCCCTAGTGTCTCTCGGGTAATTAGGAGCACGGACGTCCAGGATGAGGTTACTATGCCGTTGTTAGGCATTGTAAATTTATGTTCAGCGTGGATGTTTGGGGTGCATCTCAGGGTTATAAAAATAGAGTTCAAATCCAGTTCAAATGCAGTCTGACACTGAGAAGTTGCTGCACCCGAGTCTGACACCTTTTCCAAAAAATCTAACTTTGTCTGTCTTCCGCTTCTAGTCTTCCACTGGGAGCAACAGGTCAATTTTGAGGGGTTTCTGGTGTAGCCAGTGGACACACAAGACTTTAGGTACAGTAAAGGCAATAAAAAGACTAAGCTTTTTCAAGATTGCATTTGAGCAAATGTATTTTTTCTTTTGCTCTCCACAGAGACTGCTTAACTAGATGCAACCAAATCCTGCTCAGGATTAGAGCTACAAGCAGACGACCAGATGGAAGCCAGAAAGGTTCCAGGTGCCAAAAATCATACATTTTACTTACAAACTGCGTATTTATAAGAAGATATGTTTTTATAGAGATTACACACAGAGCCACTTGTTCAATCAAATTATTGCCAAACTTTATCACAGAAAATACTAAATAGCATGCTATCTGAAAATCCTGTGTCATTAACATGCACAAAAACACAGAACTTCCCCATGTGCAGCATGAAAAATGTGTGTAAATGTGTAAATCCTCTCATATTGTTCTCCAAAGAAACAGCTTCTTTGTTCAGAGACATTTTAGTGATAATCACATTGCCCAAGTAAGTCCAATTTATCTAGATCTAAGGGTAGATTTACCTCACAGAGTGTCCATATTTATGCTATAAATTCAAAACCAGCCTTTCAGTTTTAAACTATTTAAACTACGAGGAACGTTCTTGTTCTCTGAAGTCATCAGCAAATTTGCACAGATCGAAGAATTGCGAATTTATAAACGAATATGTCTTTTTCTATGCTGGACCACAGGGGGCTCTGCACAAATGATTTCTGTAAAAACCCCAAATCTTTAGAACTCTGGCTTGATGTAATTTTGTCTAATAGTTCTCTCACTCTGCTCAGCTCAATTTGTCACTTATTATTCTGCAGCCAACACAGCATGGCAAGCCAGACTGCACATTGTATGCAGAGCTTTTAAAAAGCATCCCGGCATAAACAAAGACAAGCAGACTGCATCTGTACAGCTTGTTTACCAGCGACAAAATTCAACACAAAAAGCATAGAAAGAGAAGACCACTGTAGCGATCGCACAAACTACAAGCTGCACTGCATTTATACTTCAACAGGTGATTAACTGTAAAGGTCAGTCTAAACTTGAAAGCGACCTCATTAGAAATGTATTCCTCCTGTTTCTTTTAAAAAGAAGACAAAAACAATCCCGCAGACAGACAAAGATGGTTACAATGTTACTATGTGATTCTACGTGTCTAATTTGACTTAAGGTGATTAAAAAAAAGAAAACCTGTTTGTGAGAATTGGCATTTCAGAAATGACTTTAAAAAAAGCCACAAACACTAAAAACACAGAATTAAAATAAAATTGTCATTGACCACTGATCCAGCAATTAATGTGTACTCATAATCAGGTCTGTGAAGTTGTAGTCCTTGAACACACCATAAAGTAACTGCATAACTGACTGCCTGTACTGGCGTCTATACACACATAAGCACACACACAAGTAGCGTTTACATTCACGTAGCTTTATCAGTGTGTGAGGTGCTAACGCCAAGGACATTAAGGCACAGATGTTCATGCAATTCACACACACTGTACTCTGTGGACTGTTGCCAAGGCAACTGCAGACCACTGACAAGGGGCTTATTGGTTTCATGAAGTGACTGTTGGCCGCCATGTCAAAGAGCAGCTCTGCATGTGTGTGTGTGTGTGTGTGTGTGTGTGTTCTCACAGGGCACTAATGAAAGGCATCCATCATTCTGGCCTCTCTCTATCTTTATCAAAGCGTTCTTGTGACCTCACACTCACACACACACACACTGCTAATCTCTCCCATCATGGTGCCTACACCTCTGAGCGTATGTGCATGTGCATCCAGGTGTGTTTGAACATGTGTGTGTGTGTGGAGGAGGAGAAAACTACATGGGGGGCAAGAGATAACAAACATACCTCCAGTTAGAGCATTCCTCCTGTTTCCGCCTACTCCAAAACACCAAAGAACACACACACACACATGCACAGGCTTCTAAACTCATGCATGTTTGTGTAAAAGTGTGTGCGCTCAGGCTGCTGGTATAAAGAAATGCTAATCTGCTCATTGAGTATTCAACAAACCAAATGTTTGCCTTGGGAAAAACGCTGCGCTTAAGGGACTAATTACTACAAGCGCTGGATAGAACAGTGATCTGTTGCGCTGCCTCTTTCTGCTCCCTCCTTCCTTCACTAACCATACTGTGCTTTTTTCCCCCTACTTTCTTCTCTGCTCACCTTGGGGTTTCTCTTTCACACTGTTTTGTTTTTTTCTTCCCGAGCTGTTACCAGTTTCCCATATCTGATATTTTTATTACACACAAAGCACAAGTGAAGAATATGAAAATGACAATAAGATCAGAAGCTTATAATGTTTTCTTTAAGCCTTAGTGTGGTCATTTTCATTTCCAATTACATTGACAAGCATAAAATAAAATTTCATAATAGGACATTTGTGTGAAGATCCATCCATTCTTTTTCTTAACCACTTATCCAATTAAGGGTGGCAGGGGGGCTGGAACCTATCCCAGCTGTCATTTGGCAAGCGGCAGGATGCACCCCGAACATGTCGCCAGTCCAACATGTTCGGAGCTTTGTGGGAACATATTAACAATATCATTTTACAGTAATGTTTTAAATCAAATACTACATGTGTAAATATTTAGGATCTTGGAAATGTCACAGAACTGTTTTCAGTTTGATGGCAGTCTCTAACAGTCTCTTTTACATAAACACAGACGTGCACATAGACATCCTTAAAGCCAACATCAAGATTTCATCACAGACAGGCTTTTTGTGTGCGTTATGAATAAAAATCAAAACCTGTCTATCCTTTTATATCAACAAAAAAAATAATAATTCAAAGTACAAAATGACACAGAGAAGTTGAGCGAGCAGAAGTGAAGCTATGCTCTAAACATGTCTTTTTTTCTTTTTTTTAACAAAGGGAATAAAGAAAGGAAGGACTTACCTTGACTGAGTCTCTGTCTGAGAGGGCGGAGGGCATGAGATAGAAAAAAAGAATGACAGATTCAATGTCTGAAGCACAAGAACACACTGGCAAACACACAAACACACACACTGCTGCATATAACAGATACATACAGATACAAAAAGAGAGCTAATGGCGAATTTATGATATTTTTGATGAAGATAGTGGGGAATTTCATTACTGTTTATGGATCTTGAGGGGTACTATTAGAGTACTACTGCAAATAAATAGCACTTACACCTCTTTTCCAAATTAACAGATAAATCTCTTACAGTTTTGCTCTCAATTAACCATTCACGCACGCTTTCACACATTGATAGTGACAGGGGTGTCTTTGAAAGCAGACCTCTACACATTGGAAACTCTAAGTTCATTATTTTGCCCAAGGCACTTCGACAAATGAACAGGAGCAGCTGCAGATTAATCAATCAACCTAACTTGCTCTAAATCCTAATTGCAAAGTTTTGGAGAACCTTTTGAGGATTCAGATAAAGTAAGAAGTGGAAACCTCCGTTTTTCGGCTTTAAGACTTGTGTGCTGATGTTTGCAACTTTATTGGGGCAGAACTCAGCACACTGGTAACACTAAGGCTCCGTCCACACTCACTCTCCGTTTTTGCCACCCGTCCACACTGAGACTGTTTTCGCTGATGGAAAATGCAGCGTTTTGAGAACGCTCTTGAAAATGCATACATTTGGAAACGGTGCTCTCGCGTCGCAAAAACGCAGACTTTCTAAAACGATGAGGCATGTTAGTCATCTTAGTTTAACTGGTCGCAGCCATGCGACCAGTTAAACTAAGATAGCGGAGGGCATTATACAGCAGTTGTTTTGTTTGCTCTGAATTTTGACAGCCCTATTAAAGATTAGTATCAGTTTGTATATGCTCCAGGTGGCTTTTCTTCAAATTCTTTAACTCTCACTCGATTTTGCAACTTTGTACTTTTGTGTCACTCGCAGCAACAACTCGGTGCTTTTCCTTAACATTTTGCCGCGATGTTTCACAGAGCCGGAAAGTAAATAAGCGACAGACTAAATGAGGCAGGTCGAATCTTCTTGTGTTTCATGCATGCACGGTAGTGGAACGTAAGCATTTTCGGCCGTTTGTGGATGCACAACTCTGTGAAAACAACTGAAAAAAGTGGACGTAGCCTAAATGCTAACCAAGTGGCATTGGTGCCTAAACCAAATCATACCATACAAAAATAAAAGTGGGCAGTAAGATAAACACAACTAAAGCAAGAAAGTAGAAAAAACAACTCAGACAAATGTTGGAGGATTTGTTGGTTTAATTTGTGTTTGCCTCAGTACTCTGCTCTCAGCTGACATAGTGAATAGATTTTTATTTATTAGAGTTTGTACATTATCCGTCATTTTCAGTGTCAGTCTTTTAACACATTAATATTAACCATTATTACTGACCAGTGAAGTTTCTAAATGTGGTGAAGAAGTCCAACGGGTTAAAAATACACTGAGGTTAGCACCACAGTCACACAATGTTCAACAGTGCAACCTGCAGAGAAAATGCTTATTAAAATACTAAAAGGGGAAAAAAGAAAGTTTTTATTCCCTTTGTTCACTTAGTCATTTCAGGAAGCAAGCTGTAGCTGGAACTGTATTCTTAGTGACTGTGGTCCTTAGGTGGATAAGTATTACCTCAGTTAGCAGCCGTTAGCTTTACTGCAGCTACAGAGCAAGGTTAACTGCTCTGCTGCACTGTAAAAACCCTCACTGACATGCTGCAACAGAGTAATTAAGTGCTGGCGCACAGTTTCAAACCTACACGCACACGTACGCACACGTACACACACATGCACACACATAGTCTCAATGAAGAGTAATTAAATGCTTGAGCTCAAAGTCAGCTCAGAGAAGAATTAGAAGCGCTCTGTGTGAACAGGAGAAAAGAGGCATCATGGTGGTTGTGTATTGCTTCCTATTAGGCCAATTAAAGTGGCATAAAGACAAATCAGTTTTTAATTGTTTAACTGCTGTTCATTCAGAGCACTAACAATTAAGCATCAGCCATTACAAGTGGTAATTCGTAATGCTGGGTGAATACTTTGACATGTAAAAGTGGATTTGGATCATTAACTGAACAAAAGATTTAAGCTTTGATGTTTATGTTTACCAAATATATTTAGCATCTGTCTGTGAGTGAAATAAAACAGCCAAGTTGTTGCGAAGTATTTTAGTCCGCTTCAAACTATCGCACCAAGAGTCACGATAAAAACAAAGTGTACTTTCTTCCAATTATAAGGCTGCACACATCAAGGCATAATCAAAACCTCTTGTCCTCAGCGGGTTTTAAATGAGGGAAATAAACCTCAGCTGAATGACAACATGTGATATATTATACTGTGCAATTATTTGTTGAACACAAATAAAGCCAAAACACACAAGCAGTGTGTGTAAGTAAGTAGCAGTCAGGTTGTGCACACCCATTTAATTAACTGATCATCAGCAAGTGTGAGCACCTCTATAAAAACAGAGGCTTTGGCAGTTTGCTCGTCGTTAACATTCAGGGGTGTGTTAAAACAATGCCAAGGAGGAAAGACATCAATAATTATCTTGGAGAAGCAATTGATGCTGCCCATTAATTAAGGAAGTCTTATAAAGCCATTTCCAAACATTCTGAAGTCTATTATCATCATTAAAAAATATTCACAAGCAGGAAACATTCAAGAATGCTGCTAATCTCAAGCATGCTGATCCACACAGGTATGCACACAGGTGTACACACGGGTATTCACAGACGCGGACTACAGCTTTCTTGGCTGCTGCCTCAAAGCACATTGTGCGCTGTCTATCTTGCGTGCTGCACAATATCGTTTATTATTTAGTATCTACTGATATCTACTGCTAGCTAGTTTATTGTGATGGTGCTGTTTTTTTTTATTATGTTGCTCTTTGTTGTTTGCTTTCTCTTCTGTTTTTTTTCTCCATACAGGTGACCCAGGTGTTTTTTTTGTTTTTTGTTTGTTTGTTTTTCTTTCTTTCTTCCCCCCCTTCTCACCGTCTCTTCTCCCCTTTGGTTTTCTTTCTCTCCCTCTCTTTCTTTCATTCTTTCTCCCTGTCCTATCCCCCAGTCATGTCTGTCCCGTTTGTAGCAACTGAAAATAAAATAAATTCATAATTATAATAAAGGTCAATCAAATGGACCAATATGGCAAGGCCATGATGATCCACTTGGTAAAATAAATCCGCTTGGCATCTTTCTTGGCCTTAAGACAACAATTCTGATGGCTAAAGATCCAAACGGGACACAAAAAAAAAAGAAGAAAAAAAAAAGAATGCTGCTAATCTTCCCAGGAGTGGTTATCCCAGCAAATGTTACCTAAGATCAGACCATGCAATGCAATACAGAGAAAGAGCTACATTCCTGACTCTGCAGCCCTCAGTTAGCATGTCAACTGTGAAAGTTCCTGACAGTGCAATTACAAATATGGCTCGTTTGGAAGGTTTGCCAGGAGTAAGCCCTTTCTCTATAAAGAGAACATGGCAGCACAGCTAAAGTTAGCAAAGTTGCTTCTGAACAAACCACAGCATTCCTGGAACAATGTCCGAGGACATACAAGACCAAAGTGGAGATGTCTGGCCGTGATGCACAGCGCCATATCTGGCTTTAACCAAACAGAGCATATCCAAACAAACACCTCATATCAGCTGTAGAACACAGCAATGCAGGGTTGATGATTTGTAATCACAGAATCTGGGCACCTTGCAGTCAACGAGTTAACCACAAACTCCTCTTTATAATAATAGTGAGGCAATCTGTCTGAACGCTTAAGCTTGGTTAAAACTGGGTAATCCAACAGGACAATGATTCTAAATACAACAGCAAATCCACAACAGCAACAAAAGCAAAAAAGATGCAGCAATGGCACAGTTAGATCTCAGACCAACTGAAATGCTATGGCAGGACCTTTAGAGAGCAGGAGATATAGGTCTGCTCTCAAATCTCAGGTGACTGAAACAATGTTGCAAAGATGAGTGGGCAAAAATGCCTCCACAATAATGTGAGAGACTGTCGAAAGGAAGGCATTACTTTAAGTTATTGCTGTCAAAGGTGGTTCTACAAGCTATTGAAGCATTTTCACAGGCTGCTTCTGCGTTTTGGCTTAGTTTTTGTTAAATAATGACATGATGCAATATATCATCTGTTGTTATTTAACTGAGATTGTGTTTACCTGATTTTAAGACCTGATACACCTTGGCTGAAAAGACTAGATAGGTTTATCCCAATTGGGGAAACCTTAGAACTGACAGAGGGTGTGCTTTCTTTTTGCCTTTACAGTAAACAAACTGAGAGCGTATCTTTGTATCTACCTTGTGTAAGAATTTGCCCCTGATAATCAGGTAACTCGCTTTTTGACTAAACCATAATTAGAGTAAACCTTAAAGCAGTAGTTTGAAAACTCAAATTGTGACTTTGAACATACAAGCAGATGTAACAAATGCAAGGGTAATTTCAGTCATGAAGAGACCAAGACTCACACAGAAACAAGCACGCACAAACCAAAATCAACACCTGCTATATAAAAACAGCACACACAGAGCAGACCTCACCTCGTGTGTGTTCGCTGTTGTTATCGTGATGCTTCCTCTCATCTTTGAGTGGCAGCTGGTGACTCAGGGCAGAGGACAGAGCCAGCAGGCTGGCAGTACTGGCCCCAGGAGGCAGAGGGGGCTGAAGGCCCGCTGGGTGGGGTGTTAGTGGGACAGGGATGGCATGGCCATGAGAGAGGTGCTGAGCCTGGAGTTGCTGCTGCTGAACCAGACACAGAAACACCAATTAAGACTTGAAAGATCATGCATGATAAAATACAAATGAGTAGGTGATAAAAGGAAAGAGAAGGAAAGACAAACACATTCAAATAGAGCGGGGAAAAGATAGCAACTGAAACATGTAGACTACAGCTACAATAGTTAAATATCAGATACACTTTTTTAAAATTTGATCAAAAACACCAAAACCTTTGATTTATCAGCCAACATAAACGGTGATATTTATATAACTGACAATTTCTGTGAAAGATGCTAAAACATTCAAATTTCTTGCAGAAAGAAGTTAGCTATTACTACTATACAAAATACTTTGGTTTTATTGTATATTATTATGAATACATCTGACTTTGTACTTACTCTTCTCCTCACATTATTCTTTTTCAATTAATCTCTTAAGCTATTTTCCAACATTGCTGTAAAAAAAAATAATCTATGCATTTTGTATTTAATTGTGTGTGTCTGCGTGTGTGTAATACACCCACTCCTATGATGGCGTTGAGTTCAGCCATGGTGACCTGCTTGGCCCTCTCTACTGCCTGCACCACCTGCTGCTGATGCTGAGAGACACACAGAAACAAAAAACAAACAAACTGAAACTGAAACAGCAGCTGAGACGGAGAAAAGAATGATATGAAAAGAATTTTGTAGTTATTACAAACAACATCTTTACAAAATTCAAACAACATTTAAAATGGACTGGAATGGACACGTAAAATGAGCAGGAACTTATCTCGTTTCATCACATTGAACTTGCATATGCGTACAGCAATCATTCTAATGCATTCTGTGATATCTTTTAAACTGCTTTCCATCTGAATCCGTCATTGTGCTTTGCCTATCAAACCTTATTCACAGCTGTCAGTTAGTTGCACACTGTAACTTCACACAGCCTGCAATTTCTTCAGAATTAACAATGTACTGACTGTGAAATATGTCAATCTCATTAAAACAGATATCAATGTTCAGTAACACGAGCGTGCTATAAAATCACCTGAAACTTGATATATATTTTTTCCTTTTTATTAAAACTCAAGGTTCTGACCAGAATCAGGTCAAACGCCAGACAGCCAAGATTCCCCGAGGCCATTGAATCATGACTGCACTTCAGTGCTTCGCTTCAGAATCTGACACCCATCAGTGCATTCATTAAAAGTCATCAGGCAGAAGAAGCAGCTAGCAGCTAATTAGGGTATACTAGTTAGTCAAGTGTAACCTGCACAGGCTGGTTGATTTCCTCTACGTGGAGGAGAATTAAAAAACAAACAAACAAGTGGATGTCCAAAGGAAGCAGTTAAAGACGTGTATTACAAGTGGCCAAAAATTCAGTTACAGACTCGTACAATATTTTGTGGATTCTGTGATTGGTTTAATGTTTCTGATTTGAGATTGTTATTAAAATTTTATGCAGCACTGTTTTCTGATTTTTGCTCAGTCTGCTCACACGTCTCGACACTGAACAGCTCCAAAAAGTTCAACACATAGGGAAAAAAGATGGGTACCAAGAGAGGCAGACAGCTAACAGGGCAAAGTCATACAAAGGGTACAGAGCGAGGAAGACAGATCCAGACAGTGAGAGAGCAGCGAGATTCATCCAGGAGCGCAAAACATCAAAGTACGCCCGAGATGAAAGAGCTTATCAGGTGTGGAAATGAACCTGACCATCGAGTTCAGCTACACCTCTGTAGGCTCAGACTAACCTGCCTGAATGTGACACACACACACACGCACGCACACACACACACATGGAATGATCCACTATATAAATTGTGCCAAACACTTTTTATGCAACAGTTCTAAAAAAAAATAGAACAATCCAAAATCAGTCGTATAATCAACACTAGAGTTCAATCTGTGCAGATGCTTTTCATTTCTTTGTATATTGTTACACCATAGGCTCCACTGGAATGTCACACTTGGGGAAGCAGTTTTAGATGTGCAGATGTTGCTAGTATAAGTTAAAGGCTTGGTGAGGTAAACCATTTTCAAAGAGGTATTGAAGGGAGGGGGGCATTTAAGAGAAAGAAATCAAAATAATAAGTCTACCTCAGACACTGTGATGCATTTCAAGAGTAAATACGAAAAGCTGAGAAAACTGAAAAAAGTTGAGAAGGACAACATGATGCGCGATACTAATGAGATGGAGTTGTAGAGGGTCGTATCCTAGCAGCCTGTTAAAATTTGCACAGGACTGAACGTAGATAATCAGTGATAGTTTGCATAATGCCTCTGCACTCTGACAGAGGACGTCTGAATTTAGAGGCTCTATATTTACCAATGTACATATTCTGTTGCCTTCAGATGGCACGAAGGATTCAGTGCACTGAAGTAGATTTTCTTACAGAATAAATGTTTCACCATTGTTTGTGTATTTGCCTAAAGAGGATTGGTTACTTATGATTTCTTGTAAAACTGTAAGGGAAAATCTGACTCCAAATATGAAACAATACCTGCAATCACAGCAAAACTGTGGCTCGATTGTTTAGTGATTAACATATTCACTTTACACCTGTTTTGGGACTTGGAGGGGACAAAAATCTAGCCTCAGGGTGGAGGTTACACGGTAATGTATTCCTAGTGCTGGTTGTAAAACTGGATAAATGAGATGGTTCTTTTGGGAGGGGCATCTGGCATAAAATCTGTGCCAAAATGAAAATATGGGGATCCATCCACTGTGGTGGCCCCCTTGGGAAATAAAGGAGTAGCCAAAAGCACATACAATCATACAAAATACTTTTAGATTTTACCTATTCAGTGATTAATTATTCGGGTTAATAACCAACACAGTAAAGCAGACAAAATTTACTAAAATTATTATATCAAATTAATTGTGCATTCATTTGGTAGCTTGACAAGAGCAAAAACTGACTTTCTAACTGAGAAAGTTCAAATGAAGAGCTCAGAAATCAGCTCAGAAAATTTTGATACATGATCTGCTGAGTTGTTAATGTCATACATAAAAATATGGTGAGTTTAAGTAAATATCTGGTTGCTGTTAACCACAAGGAGGGAACTAGATAAGCATGGAGGTATTTGTTTGAGGTAAGTCAAGTAAGAAGTCAGGCAAAGCAGTTATTCGCAGAGAACAACGTGTCTTTTTCTTTTACTCTGAGCAACTGACTTAAACACATCTTGGTGTCCCTTCCAACTCAAAAGCACATGAACACCTTGAAATCAGAGGAATGATTCCTCACTGGGGATATGGCAACAACCGAGGAACATGTAAATAACGAGTAACTAAATGCCAGATTTTACAAATTATGCTTATTTCCAGTTTCAGATTTTCATTTTTGAAAACTGCTACAATAGCTTAGCGTAATTCCTCACCCCACCCAACTGCACCTTGAAAACAGATGGTAGGAGAAGCAGGTGGACTGGGTCCCTGCTATGCACATTGCCAGAGCTGTGTACCAGACATGACCAAGTACATAACCACCACTTCTGAGAAGAGCATATTAAGAATATTTCCTCTCTTTGACATCACAAAGATCCATAGTTTTAACTAGCGGCCAGGTGGTGTGCCCAAGTGCTTACAAGTGCTCTTTAAATCAGCCAACACCCCAGGCCACGCACCGGTACCAGTCCGTGAGTCGTTTGGTACCGGGCCGCAAGAGTTGAGGCTCGTGTGTGAAATTTATGGTTTTCAGGGTTTTTATCGTTATTTGTTTATCGTTTTTATCGTTAACTCCGTTTTCTTGGGTCTTTTCCCGTGTTTTATGAATAAATCTTCTTTTTTTTGGTACCGGTACTAGTTTTATTTTGTTGTATTTATCCACGACACCTTAAAGGCCGGTCCATGAAAATATTGTCGGACATAAACCGGTCCGTGGCGCAGAAAAGGTTGTGGACCGCTGCTTTAAATGATCATAACTCTGTTAGCGATGTGCTAGAGATAAAATTGAAATGGTTTCATAAAGAAGAGAAGACAACATTTATGGAGATATTCTGTGTGTCGTGGTTTCCCACTGTATTCCTGAAGTACTTCTGTCTGAACACCGACAGAAAAATTAGCTCCAACTAGATGCTATCATGTGCGCTTCACATTACTGTGACTCCTCAACCATTATAGGTAAGAGAGAAAATTTAAATGCTTGGTGAAAGATGAGAATTATTTTGTAATTTTACAGCCAAAACTCCAAAATAAGTCCAGCTGGTATGTATGATACTTGTTTGATAAAAAGTTATAATAAGAAAAAGTATAACTGGTAGACTTTAAGGACGTAGTTATTCCAAAACTTTCAGAAACAGATGGCACTTTTGTTGCCTTACCTTACTTGCAAATGTAAATGTCAATCAAGGAATGCATATGTGATCTTAAAAAAGGGGCCTTTTTATGGCAGAGACATAAAATCTGCCTCATGATAATGATTCTATTTATATGTTATGTTAATTGGGGGATTTTATTTACTCAAGTATATTTTTTCTTTATAAATTTGTCAGAAATAACATTTTTGTCAACTGACTTAACACAAACTTATTGCCTTTGCTGTAAATGGACCAATCATACTTACATGGCCCCAAAGGCCAATGAAACATTATCAGAAAATGACAAAAATAAAAATAGAAAACAAAGCGCTTTCACCAGAAATACACAGACACAGTCGATGTGATTTGCTGCACAACAATAAGATGAATGTGTTACATTTACTTGCACATGCAGTAAACAAGGCTGTGCACCAAAACAAAGCAGCTTCCTCTCCCTGCCTCCCCTCTCTGCAGGCCTCAGGGCTGTGTAGCAGCACCACAGTCTAATGCCATTATTCCTAATCCACCCTAAACCCTCCTAATCCATGGCTAATCTGGAGGAGAGCTTTTGGAGTCCACACTCACTCCTTCCTGCTGTTCCCACCCCTCAGCACACACACACACACACACACACACACACACACACACACACACACACACACACACACACACACACACACTGTCAGCTCCTCAGAGGAAGGATTTATCAGCTCAACACACGCACGCCTAAAAATTTCACAATAAACACTGCATAAAAACACTTCTCACACCCACTGCTGTATGTGCACACAATTATAATGTATTTTAACACAAAAAGTATTTTCTCACACACACTCAGCCGCTGGCTCCTGCATATGTTAGTGGGAGACATTTGATAAGTTCAGAGCATATCTGTCTATCCTGAGCAGGGGGGATTAGCCCAGGATAATCTGTACGAGTGTGTGTCTGCGTGTGTGTGCGTGTCCCCATATTTTCTTTCTCTTGCTTTAAAATCCACCACACAGTTCTCCCCTTTCCTGTCTCCCTTCCTCCCGCTCTCTGACTCTCTCTCACCCACCTCCTTCTTAACTCACAGTGACAGGCATTTTTGAGTCTTACCTCTTGAGAGAGGAAGGGGATGACTTGGGCGCAGATTGCGTTCAGCCGTTTAACGATCTCCGCCTGCAAGACAGAGAAGTGGGAAGCACACAATTATTTTTTTAATTTGTTTAAATTCTCTAGCAGACAAGAAGGCGTCATCCTGTTCACACAGCCTTCAATTCCTGATTCAGTTTATATCAAAGTAATAGCTCACATAACTTTCATTTCAAGACCTGTTTACTTCGTCACATGAAACTAATAATTTGATGAACATCTCTCATAAACTTGTGTTTAATATCTATTGTGTTTCCTCCAAAACAAATCTCTGGGTGCACGGGAACTTGTGTATTTTAAATGTCAAGAATATTTAGTTAACTCTAACTCAGGAGGTAGAGCAGATTGCTTACAAACTCTAAGTTATGCTATGACAGGATACTGGACAGACAAAGATATCCCTGTAAAGTGTTGTGTGAATGAGGAAAAGCACCGTAAGTCTTAAAAAAAGTGTTGCTAACCAAAGCAGAAAATTCAAGAAATAATATCTGAAAGTTTCATACATTGTGTGTATGCACACCGCTTAGCTTTAAGAAACTCACACACTGCTTGTGCCTTATTTCTGTTTCATAGCTACAACATTATTCACATTCACATTAAACTACAGGAAGACATTTCCATGCAAAAATATAGAGCATCACTATTATCACATATTCAATTCACTAAGCATCTAACCCATAACCAGCATTTTCTAAACAGCAACAACTTTTTTTACTAAGCCTACTTTTTGCTAAACCTAATTACCAGGAGTAACCTTATTAGGTACACCAGTTCAACTGCTCATTAAAACAGATTTCTAATCAGCCAATACCACAGAAGCAGCTCAGTGTATATAAGCATGTAAGCACAGTCAACATGTCCTGCTAAAGATCAAACTGAGCATCAGAATTTGGAAGAAAGGTGATTTAAGCTACTTTGAATGTGGCATGGTTGCCATAACCACTTGTTGCAGTAATACAGAAGAGCATCTCTGAATATGCAACATGTCAAACCTTGAAGCAGATCAGCTACAGCAGCAAAAGACCACACTGCATACTACTCGTCGGCTAAGAACAGGAAACTGAGGCTACAGATTGAACAGGCTCACCAAAAGCGGACAATAGAAGCCTGAAAGAGTGTTTCTCACTCATGGTTTTCATGAGTCTCAATTTTCAGCGTCACATTTAGATGACAGGGTTACATATGATGGATCCAACCCTGCCTTGTATCAGTGGTTCAGGCTGCTGGTGGTGTAATGGTATCTGGTACTTTTTCTATATATCTATAAAAGGGGAAGTGCACCAATTCAGCACTGAACTCCTGTAACACTCACAATGTGCATTATTTAAAAAAATATCAGAATCAGTGCAGCAGAGTGTCTCTCTTTTTACAAATTCTTCTTTGTCAAATATGCCACGACCGCCAACAATGGACAGGTCACTGCTTTAATCTAAGATTATTGTCCTAGTAGCACTGAAAGAAGTCTTCTGCTGCTAGCCTAAAGCAAATCACGATACAGATTTGTGCTTAGGTCATGTCTTTGTACAGAGATCGCGTTTAATTCCTGAACAAGCCCCAATTTGATATGACCAGACCAGAACAATGGACTAGTAAAGACTTAATATAGATTTGTTTAACTAAGTATAAATCAGAATAATCTGTATTAGTGGTGTAAAACAATATGTAAAGCTACTCATGAAGTGCATGTTGAAAGTTAAAAACAAACCAAAGGGTAATGAATAAAGTTTCAGCCACACTTCAAGGAAGTTGCTCATTGCGTGTCTCTTTGAAGCTGACATCTGTTAACTATAACCCTCTAATGAATTTACTACTAGGTCATATATTAGACTGCATTCTCATTGGTAGTCCCTTCAATCAGTTGCCTGGAAGTTGTCAAAAGTTTATCTTGGGTTCTGCCCAGGTTACTTTGCCAATGGTTTCACTTGGAGTCGCGTGAAATAGCCAAATATTATTCACATTCTATGATTTCTAGTCGCTGCACTGCTTCCAACGTGGGTGCTGCTTCAGAGATGGACACAGTAACTTAGATGAAGTTTAAAGTACCCCTGCAGAACACTGGTCAAGTGGCAAGCCAACTTAGCTCTGCAACATAATGGGGAAAAGCACATACACAATGCACTATCGCTCACAATTCCATAATACTCACCAAGACCTTTAAAGTGACTCTCGTCTGTAACTAATTGGAGTAAACCTTTAAGTACCAGAGGAATGATCACAGCACTTAATTTGAAATAAACTGATAAACTGTGCCTTAACATTTAATGGGTGTTAGAGTCACTTGTAATGACAACCTCTGCAGATTTTTAAAGATATCTGAGAGACAGTTTTCAACAAGATGTAGGCCACTTTAAAAGGCATCATAATTTCATCATATGCCAATCAGAAAGCTATGACATATCCATTTTTCATCTGTAAAGACTGGATGTGTATTTATTTCTATAAATTACAGCAATTATATTTGATTCATTTAAATTCTGCTATGCTAAAGCTAAATGTCTCATTATTGGCCTCAAAAGTCCAACTTTACATTATCAGATTTACTCCTTATCCTTCTACATCCCTGAAAGGTAATTCTCTGCTGCACTCTTTGAGCTTTATTCAGTTTAAGCTAAATGGATGATTTGTAAACATAAACCCAGAGAGAAAGTGGAGTATAGAAAGTGTAATCCTTTGCAGACAGATAAAGGAAAGTGTAACATTTTTGTTGACTTAACACATTAAATTAAGACCCTGGCTACTGAAAAAAAGCAATCAGAGTTTGAGATAATTTCTCCAAGGCCAACACAAATATATAAGTTACAGCCGTAACCTTGCCAAGCACTTGTTTTATGTACATAACCTTGGCAGAGGTGAACTTTGCTCTGGCATCAGTGGTAACAGAGCCCCCAGAGGCAAATATAGGCTTCAGACAGCAGCACAAGCAACGCTGCGGCAGTACGAGACACATAAACACAACCGTGTGCGCAAATACATGCACATGCACATACACACTCCAGCTTCTCTGTATTCATCAGATGTTTTATACTGAGCCCAAGGGCTAGCTTTTAAAGATTACACAGCACTCTCTCTTTCTAGATCAGGTAGAATTTTTTTAACAGGAAATTGCCTGATCCACTGTCCCAAAGGGAGTGCTAGTAGTGCACCTCAAATACAAACGCCAACACAGACAAAAGACTCAGACTCACACAGAACCGCATACTAATGGGTACACAAAGATGAACATCACCTTCTTTGTTTGCAACACTAAGTGCATAAAACTACATAACTGACTATTTCCTCTCGTGATGCCATGAACATTATAGAGTCAGTTCCCATCAAAGCCAAATTCACGTGTGCCTGCTGGTGACAATTTAAGTTCTAAGTCCTAAACAATATCTCTGTTTCTGTTTAGTAAACTTGAAAGCACATAAATCAGTCAAGCACTGAATCAAAGGTAATGGCGAGTAACAGTGTGAATTTATATGCGATTAAACTTGGGTTATTTTATTATTTTTTAACTGGTAATGAACAAAGAAATGGCAATTCATAATGTTAGCTAATTATTTAATAGCTGGTTTGAGCATTATTTCAACTTTTATCATAAACTTTCAACTAACTTTGATAAAAGACGTTTTAGAGCCTGTATAAGGAGACAGTTTGGGTCATTAGGTTGTTAGGGTTGCAATATTAATCACTACCAATTATTAATAGTCGACTGATTGTTAAACATTCAAATAACTCTAACGTTTACAGTATATGAACACTTGATTAATCAGTTTATCTTTAATCTTTAACCCATGACAAAACACTGAGAACAATAAAACCTCCTCCTAATTACTATTTCTCAAAGTGTGCCCTATTTTTGTGACGAGACACATAAACTTGAATAAAAACAAGTAACTGATTGTCAAAACGGAGTGACTAACAAGTCTATTCAAATTCAAATTTGACTAATGATGTGACCCAGAACTTTAGTGAGAACACTTTAATGTTCTGAGAGAGACAATCTCATCTCAGCATTAAAGGACAAGCAGAAATAGTCATTTTTAGAAAAACCACCTCTGTGCCATCTGACCAGAACAGGTCAGATGGACCTGAACAGACGGTAGAGATGTTTATGAAGTGTAGGGAATCACAGTTATTCAGAAGACAGAAGTTTAGAAAACTGATGCATGGGGTATATATCATTCAGAAACACTGTGCATTTAGTTTGTTAGGTCACTCTAGCAAACAGGATGGAATGACAGGAAATTGGCAAAGAAACAGACGGGAGGGCGTTTTGGCCCATTAAACCATACATAAAGTGGATGAAACCACACTCAAAAAAGGAAAATTGGGTGGTTGTTACATTTATAAAAGTCTAATTTGTAATTTGGACAAAATAATTTCATGTTTCTATGGTAAACCATGTAGGATCTGTATGAAATTCAACAACTTAATTTGTTCTTGTTGAGAAGACATGATGTAATCTAGTAAGAGTGGTTAGTTGCCTGGGCTCACAAAATCACATGAGATTTCAAACCACAGGAAACTCACTGGGGTTATAAGAGGCAGACAACTATACACACACCACGTGTATGCTATTGCTATTTATTGTGGTTTAACGTGTCAAGGACAAATGTAAAGAAAATTCTGCATCAAGCCTTGTAATAGCTTTCCTACTTTTGTTAAGCCTGGATTGACAGCTCGGTGGCGCAGTGGTTAGTGCTGTTATGTCACAGCAAGAATATATGCAGTGGGTTCTCTCTAGGTACTCTGGTTTGCTCACATAGTTTAATGTCATACAGTTATTGGGGATAGGTAAATTGTTGATTCTAAATTACCCATAAGTATGAATGTGAGTGCAAATGGTTGTTTGTCTCTGTGTTGTAGCCCTGTGATAGACTGGCGACCTGTCCAAGTGTACTTTGCCTCTTACTTTACGATACAGGCTGGGGCATAACTTCTGGGTTATGCCCTAACATAATGTTAGCCAGACTCTAGACTTTGTTGAACATTATGTAATATGAAGACAACATGTAGTATTTAAGTGACCAAGTAGTATTGGG